GTATTGATTAATAGTACTGTACCTTTGGCAGCACTTGAGAAAAGACAGTCTGTTCCAATGTCAGATGGTTCATATGAGGTAAAAACATTTGTACAATGGTTTTCAGAATTTCTATAAAGCAAAATAGTAACACATTTTGTAGGAATATTAATCATGTCAGCCAACAAAGATCACTGCTCTTTCCAAATGGGGACATATGTAAGCACAACCAACAGAAAGCGGTGTACAGTTTCAAATGCCATAATCTGTGTAGAGAAAATATTAAGTGAAATAATAACAAAAAAAGGGAAAAAAATGTCCAGCAATTGACCAATTAATGGATGTGGGTACCTTTACTGAACAGGATCTGTAAATGATTCTTCAGAGGTTATTTAAAAACCATAAAAAATGTTTACAGAACTGGCCCAGTCAGTGTGGCTCAGTGCTTGAGGAGGTCACAGTTCAATTCCCCGTCCAGGAGCATGCCTGGGTTGTGGTCTCATGCAGGAGGCAGCCAATCAATGATTCTCTTTCATCATTGATGTTTCTATCTCTCTCTTTCCCTTCCTCTCTGAAATCAATAAAAATATATTTTTTAAACGTTTACAGTGCTTTAAAATTAAGCATAAAGGTCTCAAAATAGTATCCCAATTTTATTATATGTAAACATGTACATACAAAGAATAATAGGTAATCTGGCAGGAATGTACAGAAATGGGATGAGAATATTCTCTATTAAAATCTTAACCATTTCAGATCCATAGGTGTCTTCTGTTTTTTTTCTGTATGTTTCATATTTTCTACAATGAATATGTGTGACTCATACTCAGTATAAAAAATAATTCTGCCCTGACCGGTTTGGCTCAGTGGATAGAGCGTCGGCCTGCGGACTCAAGGGTCCCGGGTTCAATTCCGGTCAAGGGCATGTAACTTGGTTGCGGGCACATCCCCAGAGGGTAAAAAATAATAATAATAATAATAATAATTCTGTTCCTAACATAGATTCAAAATTATAAACAAATATTCCACAACCATTCTAACTCAAAATAAATGTAAACTACTGTCTAGTCCAGTGGGCAAACAACTACGGCCCACGGGCCGGATCCGGCCCGGTTGAAATGAATA